TCTTGGTTTATGGGGAACCTAAGCCCTAATTCTACCTGGTTTTGGAAGAAAGTGTAACAGCCGGGTGGAGGGTGATCGTACACGTCCGAGGGTGGAGGAGCGACATACTCCCAATCGACAGGCAACCAAGAGCGACCAAAAAAGGGCTGGAGCCATTTATCATTGACTTGGATGAAGTCGCTCGGCCTGCGAACCGAAGCAATTCTCACTGGGGGTTAGGTCGAGGAGGAGACTCAACCTCGATCTTCTCATCAATTTCATCGACCAACTGAAGTGCTCATGTGTTGGCCAATCAAGGAGGCATCAGAATCACTAGTGCCCCTGAATATAAACATGAAAAAAGAAACGATAAGAAAAATTTAGGTCTTGGACAAAGGAGATTGGAGGAGGAGAAATTTGTAATCTAAGGCTTTGCGAGGAGGAACTAAAAGGAAAATTATGCATGCAAAATTAATAAATACGAGAATAGTTGACTTACTCATCTACATGTTGAATGTTGGTGTTAATTAGAAGAGAAACTCTAGAATTGTGGTGGTCGAACGACGAAACATGGTGGCAAAACTCTAACATTGATTGCAGAGGGCTAGGAAACTATAATAGCGTGACGATTTTCACAAAGGTGGAAAAATCATAAGAGGGAGTTAAGGGTTCTATTTATAGTTGAAAATAGAAAAATCTCGAAGGTCGATAAACCCCATCCGTCGGATCTTGGTCGAGATGGATAACCCAGATTGAAAAAGCGAGTTGAAGAGTTGGATTGAGATGGATTGTTAGATCAAGTCCAAATGAACGGGTGAGATTAAAATAGGCTAGCAGAAAGGACATACCGACCTTGACTGCTGGATGGTGGTCGAAATGGATGATCAATATTAGAAAGGAAAGTTGAAACGACAATACAATTGCGGCCGTTAGATTAAAGGAGAAATGATGGGCCATCATCAATGCATCATTTAATGGGTACACTGTACAAGGACGACACAGACTGCAAGGCGGTTATTTGATATGATGTTCGGACTAATGGATCCGACATGTGGCAGAGATTTAAATTTTAAAATTTGAATTTGAGATCAGGCGGAGGTCTATAATATTACTCTCGAAGTCAAGAAAAACTGCGCAACGTGGTCGATTTGATTGAGGTAAGAGCTCACCAATCAAGAACAAAAACAATCGAATCTACGCTTGGATTGAGCTATTCTAACTCGACCAGAGTGGGGGGACCAAATGATATGGAATACCATACCGAGTCGAGTATACCCGAGAAATCAGCCAACCAAGCCAGGCGAACGGGTTGGTCGAATAGAGCTCTAGGTCGAACAGAGTCCTCAAGTTGACGAGGATGTTGCAGGAAGAGATATCGCCAACAGGTTGAGCTAAGGCCCACGGATGGCCTGATAAAAAATTCGATGTGTGGGTATTCTGGTCGAAGGCTCGACCTAGAGGACGACAAACGGGCCCAGTGGAGAAGACGATCTACCTCATGCTGACGAGGGTTTGACCTTACGATTAGACCGTCTAATACAGAAGACTGGAGGATAAGAAAAAAATATTATTAAGGTAAGAACCACAGACATGGATAGGACCACGTGCCCTAACAAAATTAGGTAGTTCAGACAGTACGAACGGGCAGTTTGGGCAGTCTGGGTAGCTCATCCGGATAGTCTTGGGGAACACACTATATACTTACACACTATATACTTATAAAGTTTTATATCTACTGTTTATCGTCTTCATCACTGTATACTGACTTCATCGTCGGAGTGCTAACATTGGTAACCCCTCCAAACCCATTTTGCAGTTCTACGAACAAGTCAAAACGCAGATCCGAGTGCAAGGCAGATCGAGGTCTTTGTACAACAATTATACTCTGTAATTTTTAGTTTGTATTGACCTCACTAAGGAATAAAGTGGTCAGTTGAAAATAGGCATGAAAGATCACATTACATGCAATTTTAATGCTACATTTCCATGATTGATCTATGTCATTTGATTGTATTGGTATATGTGATTATAGACGTGTTGATTCATGCTTAAAATGATGAAAATCTTTTTAGTCCTATGTCATTACTATTAATGTACGAGAATGAGAAATGATACTCTTGTATATGATAACAAATTTTGAGCTTCCAAAGTAATACACATTTGTTCGACTTGCGTATGTAGTCCACATGAGAGATTATCAGACATATTTTATTTGGACAACATATGTAAATTAAATGTGCATAGTTGTCATAAAATTAATTATATTAAAGTGATCTACTTTATAATTTTGAATAAGAGAGTAACAAATTATTGTGAATTTAAAAGTATAGATACCATTATGAAATTTTATGTTTTTTGATGGACTGAAATGAAAATCAATAAATTTTATTTATTTAGTTATGTAGACTTCCAAAGAGATGTTTTTTCCCTTTAAAACACCAACAGATTTCAGATGCAGGCTATACGATGTACAGTATACACATTCAAATAAATAAATCTGCAAAATATATCTGTTGTAAGTTTTCGGCCGTTTGAAAGTCACATAAGTCCAACAAACTAAAGAATATAAGAATTCTAAAATAATTAGAAGTCCACACCAGTGCAACAAATTTTAAAATAAAGAATTACGTACGCTTATATACTCTTTTATGTGATTGATTGTCAATTATTATAATTTTAGGATTGAATTTATTTCTTTTGGGTTTATATTACAATATTTGCTTCATGTTATTATATACGTAAACACGAATCTATATATATATAATTACTAGCTCAAAACATTTAATAAAACCTATTTAATTTTACCTATGTGGCAATTTAACAATTTTCCCTCCAAAAACCGTTACATTTTGATGTATTTAATCTTTCATTTAATCATTAAATAATTAATACTCATCACTTCAAAATTACAATAATTATTTTAAATTTTTTTATTAATAACAGTTGACCATATAATGTGTTGACCGTATAATGTGATTAGATGTTATTATTGTTGTTACATTTAATTTTTTTTTTTTAAATAAAAAATACATTTGAAATTCCTAAATAAATAATAAATAATTCACAAATAAAAGATGTACCAAAATATACATTACATCCAATCAGATAAACGCAATTTAAAAAAAAATATTCCAACTCTTTTAATTGTAAATTTGGTTTGCAAAAAAGTGAGAAAAATAATTAATCATTATATGCATACAGACTCACAATAATTTATTTATATTTGTGCAAATGCACAGGTGGAATACTAGTTTATAACATAATACCTACTTAAATAAGAGAATCACATCCCTCATTAAACAATTAATAAGGGCAAGCAACCAGTGTGATCTTACAAGTCCATAAAGCCATTGAAAAATTCACTCGATAATTTGATGTAACGCATGGGAGGCCAACGTAGGATTCATCCTTGATATTTAAATTTCTTGAGCAACTCATTTGTAATTTTGTGCTTGATAGGTCGAAAAATATGCACGTTTTATATATTTAATAGTGTATTTTTATACACTTAATTTATTCGTACATTAATATTTTTTGACTTAATTATTATTTGTATGAATTTATTTGCTTTGAGTTTGTTTTGGTTTATTTTTCAGCAAATTGGAAGCATTTTATAAATTACGGGTTGAACAGAAATTCAAGTGCGCCAAACGCCCATCAGTTGGGCCCAAAAATGGATAAAATGGCCCAATATATGGTGTTACGTGGGCAGGTGGGCTGATTGGTATGTTAGCCATGACAATATAATGAGAAAAAAATGAGTCCACTTTGGAGGTGGTTGGAGACTCTTTGGAAATTACTTTCCTGGCCAAGAGAAAGAAACACGTGGGGAATTAATTGTTGAAAAGAGATCTTAAGGGGGTGTATTCAATTCGGAATTTAAGTGACATTTTAAGACTTTTCGAGATTTGAGACTTTCTAGGATTTTCAGATTTTGGAAGAATTCTATAAAATCTCAAGTCCGGAGGTAGGATTTGAAGTGAGATTTCATATAAGGTTTTTTGTTTAGAAATCCCACAAAATCTTAAAAAGTCTTAATAAATCCTAGTGTCAAAAAAATTAAATACCTCAGGATTTTGTAAAACTTTTGAAAATCCCAATTGAATACCCTAAGATTTTTAAAAGTTTTAAAAAGTCTTAACAAATCTAAATTGAATACACCAGGATTTCTAAAGTCCTAAAAAGTCCTTAAAAATCCTAATTAAATACACCCCCCTTAGACTCTGGGAGATTGAGAAGTCATACGGGCAAGGATTTATTTGCAGTGAGCGACAAAAAAAAAAAAAAAAAGGAAATAGACGCCACGCACAAGAGAAAAAAATCGCAGACATACGCACGGACAGAGACCCACGCACCGAGAAAGAGAAAGAGGTTACACACGCGAGAAGCCGCACACGCACACGAGGGAAAATTTTATTCTCTCTTTTATCTAGTATTTATTTTTATTATTATGTTAGGCTAGGTTTTATCCAGTTTAAGAGGATGTTTGAACCTTAATTTCAATTTGTCTATGAATTGAATGATCTATTTCTTATCATTGATTAATCGAGACACCGTATTTATTTTGTTGATGAGTTGATTTATGCTATCTGTGTTTATTGTTTATGAATTATGGTGTTTGATTTAGTTTGGCCAGCTAGGTTGAATATTCATAGTTTAATTGCTAGATTCGAGGTTTTAATCCGTAATTGTTATTGTCTCGTTTGTTAGTAGTAAACTAGGGGTCGTGCATCTCTAGGGTAGCATGAACATAGGTTAAATGGTCCGAGCTTTTGCGTCAATTGCTTAGACTGACCTATTTTCCTCGAAATTAATGCTGCTAGTGTATTAAATTTAGAGAGCTTATTCTAGGTTGTCCACTAATTAGGTTTAGTCGAAGAGCCTATTTCGATTAAATATTCGGTAAGGAAAAATTCAGTTAACAGAGCTTGTTGTTAGCTAGGGTTGGTAATTCATTAGCAATCTAAAGAAAACTCGAAATTAATTAACGGTAGATTTAGATTGGGTGATAACTGAACCGAAAACTGGACTTCTCTTATTTTATTTTCTTATTATTATTTTTATTTTTATAAAACCAATCCCCCATCTTTATTGCTTTCCTAGTTTAATTCAATTAATACGAGATTGTCACAATTTAATTCATACTCCTCGTGGGATCGACCCTTACTCGCCACTACTACTAGTTAGTAGAGGTTAGTTGAGGAAAATTATAAATTTAAATTTGCCGTGTTGCGACGCGCGGTCAGTGTTCAATAAAAATAAAAATCACGAGACATTTGGAGCCCGGTAGCATAATTGGGCCCGGCCCATTTTCCATGCTTCACCTACAACAGAATTTGAAGCGGGTCCAGACCAAGAAAAACATGAACAGCAGCTGCATCCCGCCCACGCAAAGGAGAAACGCGCCCCCATACGTCATCCGCCATTTAGCCACAAAATCGTTCCAAAACTTGATCCAAACGTCGTCGTACTCATCCGTAAAAAAATTTTCCCTGCTGCTTCTCAGGTGCAACTTCACTCGGAGCACCTTCTCCTTCAATCTAATCGCGGCCGTCCATTCGTGCACGTCATTCTCCAGGCTACGAGCGCATGCGTCGAGATTCTCCTCTGCGGCCATGATCCGTTTAATCGTCTGACCTCTTTGCTCGCCATTCTGCATCCCCAGAAACGGGCTGATTTGGAAAACGGACCCGATTTGACCCGATCCATTGCGCAACGAGTCCACACAGTTTTGTAAAGCGGTCTGATTTTTATCACCATCATCACTGCTTGAACCAGAAAATTTGACAGTGAGATTAGACTAAATCGCAATTTCACCTTTTGATATAGCTATTTTCAACCATCCACAATTTCTTAGAAATAAAATTCGATCTTTTGTTAGGTGTAGAGTACTTAATCGAACCTAGCTGTTTCGGCTCTTGAAAGTTCAAATTTAGATCCGTTTATCAAGTTCAAACAACTTAAGGCGTAATTGTTTATGGATTCAACTAGTTTTTATTTGGTTTGATTTTTAACTAGTTAATTTTGAAAAAAAATTGATATGATTAGTTGTTAGTAGATATATTAAAATTATATTTAAATAAATAAATTAAAGTTGATTTGATATAAAAGAGGAGAAAAATGATTGAAAATAATGATTAGTTAAAATTATGTAAGTATATGAATAGTGAATTAAAGTTAATGTGATGTGTAATAATGATTGGTTGTTATTATTTAATTATATTGATATTATTGAGGATAGTGAGATTGAGTTAAATTTAAGTTTTGATTGATTTTTTATGAGTTGGATTCATAAACAATAATTGAATTTGTTTATTAAACATAACTTACTAGCTCACTTTTTCTTTTATTTTTACGAATTTAAAGGAAACAATTCAATTCGTTTCATATTCATTAGCAACCCAGTTAAGGTGTTCTGTTTATTAAATGAATCGAACTCAAACATGTGTATGCATTTCATACTCACTAACAACTCGTTTAAGGTTTTCTATTTAACTAATGAATCGAACCCAAACATGAGTTTCTCAATTCGATTCAACTAGACTCGAATAACATACTGTCACGCGAGCTTAACTATTAGTTTTTCTCCACAAATGCAAAATATCATATTTAAAAAACAACATGAACATATATGATATTTGATTATATAAATATATTTTTTTATTTAAAAAATACGATGTATTGATGTATTATACCGTATAATGATTAGGCAAACTCACACAAACTACATTTCTAGAAATTATGCAATTTAACTAAAATAAAACTAAAATGTTGACTTACCTCACATTCATGTGATGTGACTCGCCCCGCATTTGTACACTTGGTCCGCCATTAATCAAGGAGATAATGTCTTCAAGATCTTGGGACAATTTCTGGAGGACGAGATTGAAAACCCGGTCCGGTTCAAATATGTATTTTGTGTTGATGATAGTGTTTTGTACTCTCCAGCAAGGCTGGGCACGACAAGGACCGGTGTAGAAAAGCATGGGACTATTGAAGGGGGCCGAGTTTTCTGACAGCCACGTGTTGCTATGCGATAGGTAGGTCATTAAGGCGCCTGTGATTAGTGTTAATGTGATTAGGAAAGAGGTCAGGACGATAATCGTGATTTTGTTTCTTTTTTGGAGTTTTGTGAAGGTGATTGCATTTTTTTGAGGATTGCAACTTTTGGTGTTGGGTGATGTCATGACACAAGTGAAGCGAGAGGCAAATGGAAGATTCAAGAGATAAAAATGGTTGAGGCTTGAATTAAAAAGTTTGGTTGGTTTGATAGGTTTAAAATTAATATAAATAAAAATATGATGCGACATGTCAATTTGTCCAACAATCCAAAAATTTTGTTACATTCTTTGAAAAAAATTAGAAACACTAGTCAATATTATTAATATATTTATTTCTCTTGACAAGTGCCTTCTAAGAATTTATTTGCAATTTTGTAAAGTTGAAATCACAAGATCATTTTTGGATGATAGATGAAAAGTTTTTGTTTATTTATATTGAGTTTTAATGGTGTTTTGGGGGATTCATGTTTGGACTTAGGACTAGGAAGTTTCGTGCCACATGCTCTCGACTTTGGATTCTTCATATGGTATTTTTCTATGGATGTAACTTTGACGGGTACTATAGACTTTGTTCATTGAAATGCATATAAAATCTTCAATTGGTAGTCTAGTGGTTGAATGAAAAAATGCATAAATTTCACCTGATACATTTATTTTCTCCACTTCTTCAATTTCGTAATTTTTTTTTTATTTGTCAGTCTTATTAAATTTATACAAAGCAAACACATACACAACAGGGAAATATTAATTTCTAATAATTTTATATAATTCTTTATATTTTTAATGAACAATTATTGCAACATGTATTTGAGAATAGATTTCTCATGCCATGAAAGATTTTTATGGTAGAGGATCAAACTTAAATTTTTGTAGGTAGTCATATTTTATCACGACCTTTCACGTGCTAATGTCTGAACCAAAATTGATGGACTTTTACAATTTATTATATATCAAATTCAATAAGGATCAACATGGCATACAAATTCAAAAAAGTGATCAATGTAATGAGTTTTAATAATTTGCCAAAGAATAGTTTTACACATTGTTTTTTTTGACTCGAACCAGCCCGGCGGGTCGACTCGGGAACCGGTTAACCCGGAGCTGAAACCGGTCCGGGTAGGCTATTTAGACCGGGTAACAATGTACCCGGTCAAACCCGGCCAACCCGGTCTTGACCCGGTTGACCCGGGCCATTGGCCTGGTCGGGTCAACCCGGTTGACTCGGTCTCTATAAATTTTTTATTCTTTTTTAATATTTTTTTATATAAAAAATAAAAACTATGTAAATATAATGATATAGTAAATATCTTAACACTTAAATGTACAAATAATGTCTAAAAAAAGTTTATTTTTGTTACTTTTATGTATATTTATATGTCAAAAATACTATATATATATAATTTTAAAAATTTAAAATTAATTATCCGGTTCAACAATTGACCCGGTGACCCAGTGACTCGGACACATGCCCGAGTCGATTTCCGGGTTTAAAAACTATGGTTTTACATCAACGGAATTTAAATAATAACGACAAGAAGAAAAATACAAACCACAACTGCAACCCGCCGATACATAAACGAAACACATTAACCAGCCTCGAACCCTAATTGGTCACAATCTCACCCTACAATTCGTACCAAAAGTCTTCTTCATTGACCTTGAAAAAGTCTCCTCATACTGCGTGCAACCCAGAATTTTCAACATAATTCATTGAACCGGCCTTAGTCTTTCCCGGGCCAGTTCCGGTTCACCATTTGTCAAGAAATTGACTAGTTCTTGAGTAGTAACTAATACGGTGGTTTAAGCATCGTGACACGTGGTATGTAATGGTCAACAATAAGGAGCCCAAAAATTATCATTAGTCACAAAACAATGACTTTTCATCTCATTTATCATTTTAATTGCCTCGCCAGAACAAGAAATAGAGCAAAGCCAAGAACAAGTACAACCCGAAATACAAACAAACAACAAACGCATAATCAAAATTGTAATACTCCAAACTGTAATAATAATAATAAGAATCATCATACTCGTGTAAAGGATTATAAAAATCGCTCAAGATGGTCTCTCTACCATCCAACAACTCAATGCTGTTAACAATACACTCCCTTGCTTTCTCCACTCCAATTTTCACTGCCTCCACTCCAATCCTCTCCTTCAAATCCACGTCACCAATCTCCATTAATGCCGACAAACACTCGAAAGCCCCGCCCATGCCGGCCAAATTCCGAGCCTTGATGCTGTCCATCTCGTCGTAGGTCAACGACCCACGTCCGAGTCAACGCCCAACAAGGTCAACGACTCGTTGAGTTGACTCACCGATTCGAGCACCCATACTTGGTTTTTGTGTGCTGGTCATTGTTGGGAAGGAGAAGGAATAAGAGGAGCATGGCTAATAAGAAAATGGCTTTTGGATTCTTGGTTTTTGTGTGTTGGTCATTGTTGGGAAGGAAGGTTTCTTGGCAGGAGATGGTGAAATTGTCTTTACATGAATCCANGTTAAAGAAATATTTAAAATCATATATGATGGTTTAATATCTAAAGGGTATACATAAGTTAAAAATAGAACTAATATACGGCGTTTCGAACCCTATGTATATATTTACTAGTTTACTAATAAATTATTTTTAAATCTTACATTACAAGAATATGATGAAATTTCAAAAAAAAAAAAAATTATAACGGAAATATATTCTAATGATATTCCAATGACAATTTCAAAGTTATTATTTTTCATTAGAATTTTTCAGTGGATTCTAACGGCAATTCCAACAAAAATATGATGTAATAATGCTCGTCTTTGTAATCGAATGGAAAGAGCCGAGTTTGGCAGCTTGTGTTGTTTTACGTTCGAACACTTCATGTTTGTTCGTTTATTTTTGGTGCAACGAATAATTTAGGAACCAAACTTTTTAAATATGATTGAATAATTCAAAAATTGTTCGTTTGATCTAAATACAAAAAATAAAAAAAATATTTTTATATATTAGATATTTTTTAAAAAATATAATTGTACATATACAAAAAATAAAATAAAATTATATTAAGTTAATGTTGGCGAACATTATCGAACGTTCGCGAACGAGCCTCTGGTCGTTCGATTATTAAAGGAGCTCAAATTCTGTTCGAACTCGACTCGATTAACAAACGAGCTCTGTTCGTTAACAACCCTACTTGTGCCTCTGTGTTTTTTACAGCTTTTATATGAGTCCGAAAGTCACTGTTTTTTCCTCTTAAAGAGTTGTAGCACAACATTTTTTTTTTTTTTTTTTCTATTTTTTTTTGTTTCTATTCAGTGATGTAATAGAAACTTATAGAAATGTCATGGCTTAATAGAAAGTTTCTGTTAAATTGAGGATTAGATTCTTCAAATTTGAGCAAAAAGAATCGAAATTCAAAAAGCACAAAGGTTATTATGTGATGTACTAGAACTGTGATTTAATAGAACTTATGAAAATGCCATGATTTCAAATATGAAGTTCTTTCGCTTCTCCCACTTGCTCTTTCCACCGTTTTTCCTAAAAAAAAAAAGTCCTTAGGTAACCATGCAATGAATAATGATTAGTACGGAAGGCTTAATAAAGAGTTTTATCACTCGTACTCGCATTAGGATGATTTTTCATTAATCAAGGAAAAAAGAAATAGTGACCCAGGTTTAAAGATAACTCGATGCTCTAACAAGTAACACCTGATGAGTCCAAATTATAGAAATTCTCTATTCAGCCTTCTTTACCAGAACGCCTGCTTTAGTGTAATATTTTGTTTATATAATTCATACAATGCCAGCTTTAGTGTAATACATTGTTAATATTACGCATGCTTGTTTAATTTGCAGAGGAAGCGAAAGAAATTGGTTAGGCACATTCACAACGAGCATCATGATCTAAAACCACGTAAGCACATCTGCACATGCCTATATCAATAAATATTATGCCATCGTACTTGCATTTTAACTGCTCACTTGTCTCTCTGAATGTTGCAGTATCCAGTTTTCTTGAAGAAGTAGACGAAGACATACTCTTGGAGATATTTGTCCGCCTCCCGAACTACCGGTCTGCCATTCTCTTTGTGCTGTCTATCGCAAGTGGCAGTCTTTAATTTCGAGGCCACATTCTATCAGTAGATTCATATCACATCATAATGAACACAAGGACCGCTATCCACAACCATGCACAGTCATATTTTGTAGAGCCTATTATTTGGGTTTTCTTAACAAGCACTTTACTCTCCCACGTTTTCAACCAATTTGCAAGCTTTCTTCAGAGGAGTCAATGTTTCTTCGCCAAACATCGAATACTGCTACTAATTATTTGGACTTCTTGCATTCGCCAATGGTCATAAGAGCATCCTGCAATGATTTATTGCTTGTCTCCCCTAATCTCGACCCTTGGACACATCTCTACTACATTTGTAATCCAATAACAAGACAATTTTATCAGCTCCCGAAGATACCTCAAACTGATCGATTTTTGGCATGTGGTGGACAGGCATTAATATGCATGCCTAACAACGAATTTAAGATCGTTGTTCTTGGTAGGCTGCGTGGAATTGTGGAAGAAGGTGCAATATCTTCCATTGGTGTTTATAGCCATAATGTGAGGATATTTTCTTCCAAGACAGGAACGTGGGAAAGTAAATGCTTGGAATATCCGGAGCCCCGTGAAAAATGGTGCTGGGTTTATTGGGTGGAAATGATTATGTGCCCAATATCCGGGGTCGTGTATTGGTTGGAGCAAGACTATGATATGGATAGGGTTCTTTCATTAGACTTGCGGAATGACAATAAAGTCGGCATAATAGACTTTCCCGATGATTATTGGTGGTACCCGAGGCATGCAGTGGATCAACAGAAGCGTCTCATCAGAGGTGGAATTAAGGGTGATCACGTCAAAGTCAAAAGTCAGATTGGGGTTGTGAGTGGTGAGTTGTGGTTGCTACAATTTGTTTCCACCTCAGTGAAAGGAATGATTAATCTTAAGGTGTGGAGATTAAATAATGGTAGTGAGTGGATTCTTGTTGAGGACAGGAAAAATTTGAAAGATCCCATCAACAAGGAGGAGGAGGAGTTTGTGGGTGGTTTTACTCATCCATTGAATAATGAAACACTCATTTTGGTGTGTGGGGTAGAAATATTTTTGAATATAATTTAACGGATGGAACCGTTGAGATAATAGGTGTGCTTCAAGAATACATTAATCTTAGTGAGTTTGCGTGGTATATGGATGAGCGTCTTGTGTGCATTCCTGTGAAGCCTCCCGCCTGGCTTACCACACTTCCTCCACGCAACCGTGCCTTCAAGCCTTTATAGCTTTTTTATTTTTTGTTGCTGAATGCAAGAATACATTTCATGGAAGTATCTTTACAGGACTCTGGTTTTTTGTTGCTCACTGCCAGAATAGTGTGTCGTTATAAGACACTTGTGTATTTCCTGTGTCTATTTCGTATATATCATTCTTGGGGGTTATTTTTCTTGAAATTTGTCTGAGTTTTTGAGGGATGAATACAATGCATTGGAATTGCTATATATGTGCAGCGCAGATGGAATTTTCATCAAATGAATCTGACATAATATATATTGAATGCCATGGTTAAAAGATTAATGAAATTTGCAGGCACATTTAGGTAGAGCACAAAATATGTGGAAAGCCCAGAACATTCGACATGTGTATTGGGCTCTTTCTCTGACAGGGTTAAAGCGGATGCATTTGGGCCGCCTATGACCTTGGGCCTGATATGTGGTTACGGGATTAAACCTGTCTGGGCCAGCTGTCAAGTTATGTACTGGCTCTGTCTGGGGATTAAACCTCCCATTTGCATGAAGTGACTAATATTGGCGTCCATAAGATTTTCAGGATGATAGGTCAAGTGAGATGAGTAGTTTTCTGCAGTAATGTATAAACTGTGGGGGGATGTTATACAATTAAGTGTGTTGGAAAATGACCACTTATTACTATGGCCTCTAAGGTATCTACTGTACGATAGTGCCTTGATGTACAATCTCCAATGCCGGTGCTCATATGATTCAAAGTTTCCGATTTTGTGATCTCATTCAAGTTGAAGAGTAGGAGAAAACAATAGATGTGATCTCATTCTTGTATTTCTTCTTGCTTTTGTGCTGAAAATTTAGGTTGCCATCAAATTTCATCTCAATATCCACATCTTTGAGACTCATCTCAAAGTTTCAGTCAATCAATTTCGAAAAATATATTAATAGAACACCTCACAAGATGATCTCATGTACGGAAGCCGAGATCTTTATGTCCATTGTGTCTCGATCAACTTCCTCTTTCTTTGAATGCAAGATCACTTACAAAATAAAACAAGCATTATAGAAACGACATTTATATAGAAACTTGCCAAAACAAGTAGAATACAAGAGACATAGAGAATGTGGATCTTCCCTTTTTTTTTCCTTGCTTGCATAGAACAAGATGTCATTTTCAGAACTTATTGCCAAAATAAATACAATCTCTCCCTTCTGCATTTAGTTCGAAAATCATATCTTGAATATGACCTGCAATGCAAACACAAGAAATAGCAAGCAAGCAGATAACAATGTTCGATCCTGCAATGCAAACATAAGAAATAACAAGCAAACAGATAACAATGTTCGAACATGAGGGATAAAACATATCTCATCCAACAAGGTTAGGACACAACACGATAAAATAAAATATATGTCTTCTAGAATGTCCAACATAACCTGCAAGTAATAAAAACACGTGCTAAACAACATAGTAATAGTTCACAGGATATTGTATGTCCAACATCACTTAGTTGGGAATTTAAAGAATTAAAGAATTTCACCCCAAAATGAATGAAACTAGTTCACAGGATATTGTATGTCCAACATCACTTAGTTGGGAATTTAAAGAATTAAAGAATTTCACCCCAAAATGAATGAAATTTGAAGACTCCTTACCATAAGAAGATTGTATACATACCTAAACAGTTACTCAATTGAAGGCTGCTGAAAACATCGGAGTTCATCATATTTTGAAGACTTCTTTTAGTGTTTTTGAGATTTGTTTTTTAGTTCTTTAATAAGTTGTCTTTCATTGTTTATACACCACTAAAAAACTGTATTTTGTTTTCTTATTTCTACAAACATTTTTCGTATTTAGAGATTAAGTACTAGGATAGCTAGGAGAGATTCTTAGCTAGTTTGAAGCCCACAATGTTGTGACAAGAGGACTAGTTAATAGGTTTGAATATAATAGTGCAGTAATGTTATGGAGCCATCGGATGGTTCCATTATGGAGCCATCCTGATTGTAAAACAAATTATCTTACATTGTATTTTTTTGTAAAACGAATTCTGAAAATTCATTTTACAATCATGATGGCTCCATAGCATTACTATATAATAGTGTTGGCTAGATTATAAGAGAGTTCGAGTCTTTTTAGTTCAAGCTATACTGTGTGCGCGGAAATGGAACTATTTTAAGGGATTCAAATCATATATATCAATGCATTCCTGTCCTCTTCCTTAACAAATCCCCAACCTCGTCCTTAATTTCCCTAAAACTAAACGAGATGCTCAGCAGCGGTCAGCAAACCATGGTAATTCAAGCTAAAAATCTCGCTTAACATATCCAATTCGAGGCACAAAATCACCATTTTTGTGGGTTGTTTGCAGGATAGAATGTACGATCACAGATTTCAGCGCACAGATCAGTGGAGGCCGGTCTACTCATGGCTCGAATCGCTCGACACGGACGAGGTGATTAAGTCCAACGATGTCATCGATTGGCTCACGGCAAACCCTGAAATCAGAGACCATTTGTACTCCCGCCACTCGCGCTACCATTTGATGCACTACATCAAGAAATGTCATATCAAGATCTTGAAGCGAAAGGAAAAGCAGGTGATTTTTATTTTGTGTTTTGTTTTAATTTTTGTCCTTTTCTTAATAGTTTTCAGTTCAATTTCTGCTATTTTAGGTGAGTGTAATCGATTTTGAATTTTTTTTGACATTATGGTTTTTTTGAGCTGCTAGAGTTTTGTATGCAATTGAAAGAAAGGAGTTTGGTCGGTTTAGCTACTAACAAATGTGGGCAATGTGGAGGTTTTTGCAACCTCTGAGAAAATGAGTTGTGTCTCAGCTTGTGGCGAGAAAGATGCTTTCTTTCTCGGGCTAAGGTTTTTCCTGTTAAAAATATTGCAAATCCAGGATTTTGATTATTGATTAGCAATCATTATACCATTAGTTGGGTGTTGGTTGGTAAAACTTGCAGTTTGTTTTTCTTACAGCCTCTAGTGCTGATTAATTAATTGAGTGAAGTCTTATGTTCGCTACCAAATCATCTGTAGTTGTGTCTTTGACCATTCCCGAATATCTACTGCTCTGGTGGGTTTTATAGTATTGCTCCAAATCTTGACATGTCCGTTTTAATTGATCTTGGTTTTGTATGGATTTTTAAGTATTTGTTTGGTTTTGATCCTTAAATTTTACTCTTCTATTTTGGTTGTTGTATCATTAGTAATCACTTGTCAGAACTTTTAACCACAATCTGCTTTAAATAGTTAACTTACACTCACTTCTCCCTTTCATTAACCAGGGATTGATTGTTGCTAAAATACCTCCAAAGGAGAATTTTAGTGCTGAAGATAAAATTCCAGGTTCACCTAACGGTAATCTAATTGCACTTTCCCTTTACGCAAATACTACAAACTCTAACGAATTCGTGTGCTGAACATGAATAACAATTGATCATCAAAGTTAGCCTGTCCTTACCGTGTTAATTCCATATATGATTTTTTTCAAGAAATATCTCAGGATTAAATTTTAACAGCCACTTTCTTTATTTCTTTTGTCCTGTTATATTGTAAATTAGTCAGAAACCATATTTTCTATATTTTCTTGCATGCCTAGTAATTCAATTGCATATGTAGTTATTGGAATAGACGTTTCAAGCTGCCTGTTTCATTCTTACATTTGATTCATGCATCGAATCATGCTAGGGGCAAAGCTGTCAATGTTGGCCCTTCGATATTGTACTCTATTCAGTTCATTTATATAATTATTTATTCCTAGCTTGAGAATGTATGGAACATTTTCCATGTGCTTGGTCTGAAAATTACTTATATTCAACACAGGCAACAACATGAACAGTATCCCTAAAGACAGTGAGCTGTATAAAGCGAAACGTGTTGAGGCTCAGCATAAATATGAGATGTAAGGAAAAATAAATAAAAAAAATCCGACTTCCTTTTTTAGTTTGATTATAAGGAATCGATTTATTTACTCTGCTCTACTTTAAAAACTTACGCTGCGCATCTCTTTCAGCTTACTGGAGTTCGAGAAGCAGCTTTTGCCACTATTTGGTAAAAGTGAAAACTGATAAAAACGTGTTAGGGCTCATGAATTTGCCGATTTTCTTACATTGATGATGACGAATATCCTGATAATTGTGCGGTTTATGTTCAGGTTTAATCATTTTGTGTTTTAGCTGTTGCACACTAAAATTCTGTCAAAATTAGTAAGTACATAGAGTTGTATAATCAAAAGCTGTTCGTAGGCTGTTGCTATGTATTTATTTATGGTGATCAATGTCAGGGGTTTGGGCCTTTTGGGTTCCATAACAGAATGGGCTTATATTTGGGCTTGGTCCAAGCTTGACAAGTATGAGGCAGACATTGCTTATAGTTTATAAACGAATATGATGTGAATTGGAGAAGGTATCCGCTTTAAAAAATGATGATTACCAACAAAAATGAAATCTCTATCCTAATAATTATTTATATAAAGAGATTACCAACTTTAAAAGTTACTAAATGACTGCGCGTCCCGACGCGACAAATTTAAATTTATATGTTTTTCTTCGACTAACTTCTACTAGCTAGTAGTAGTGGCGAGTAAGGGTCGATTCCACGAAGAGCAGAAATTAAATTGTGACAATTCTCGTATTAATTGAATTAAACTATAAAAGCAAATAAATATGGGGGGATTATTTTATAAAACTAAAACTAAAAATACAGAATAAAATAAAAATCAAATAAAATGAGAGAAGTCCAATTTTCGGTTCAGTTATCACCCAATTTAAATCTACCGCTAATTAATTTCGACGCCTTCTTTAAATTGCTAATGAATTACCGACCCTAGCTAACAACAAGCTCTGTTAACCGAATTTTCCCTTACCGTTAATCGAAATAAGCTCTTCGACTAAACCTAACTAGTGGACAACCTAGAATAAGCTCTTTAGATTTAGTATACTAGCAGCATTAAGTTCTAGGAAAATAGATCAGTCTAAGCAACGGACACAAAAGCTCGGACCATTTAACCTATGTTCACGCTACCCTAGAGATGCACGACCCCTAATTTACTACTAACGAAACGAGAACAATAACAATTACGGATTAAAGTCTCAAATCTAGCAATTAAACGATGAATATTTAACGTAGTTGGCCAAACCAAATCGTTACCCATAATTCATAAACATTATACACTGATAGCATGAATCAACTCATCAACAAAATAAATACGACGTTTTGATTAACTAACGATAAATAGAGATCATCCAATTTATAGACAAATCGGAATTAGGGTTCAAACATCCCCTTAAACTGGATAAAAATATTAGTTTAACATACTAATAAAAATAAATAATAGATAAAAGAGAGAATAAAATTATCTCTCTCGTGTGCAGGTGCGGCTTCCCTCCGCGTGTGGCTTCCTCGTCCTTCGTGCGTGTGTTGCTTTCTGTTCTTTTTTTATTTCTTCTGTTCTCTCACCAATAATTCTTCTCGCAAATAAATCCCCCGCAAAATAAAATGTCCTCCCAAATATGACCTCTCCAGCAATGACTTATGCTCAACTGCGGGGCCCAATTTTCATGTATTGAGACGTTTTGATTACTGCTCACATGAACTCTCGTCAACGGCTTCACGTCTACGAAATACTTCAAGAAGCTGAAAATAAATATAAAAATATCAATGTGTATGGATCCATCCAAATAATAAATAAGTCAAAAATATAAACGTGCGAATAAACTTAGTATATAAAAATACATTATTATATATATAAAACGTGCGAATAAACTTAGTATATAAAAATACATTATTATATATATAAAACGTGCATATTTTTCGACCTATCACTCAATATAAAAGTATATTCTTGCTATCTTATAATTAGGTTGATATCCATCCGCTTGAGTAATAATTAATTTTGAGCGTTAGGCTAGCATCAGTGGTTGTGAAATAAGATAACAAGAGAGGTGCAATTAAGATTACGCGTAAATGTTGTACTAATTAATAAGCTAATCAAAGGACAAGCCAGCAGAAAAAACGCAAGTAGGACTTAAGCTATTTTAATGATAAGAGATTAACCTAGCTATTAATTAGTTGAGTACTTAGAAGATGATTTATAGTAATCATTTAAGAATTAAGAGTCAGCTGAAGAATGTAGTGTGTAGTCAATTCATAAACTGCCATTAATCAATGCTATTTATTTGGATTAATTAATGGTTACCTAGACATTTTGTTGAGAGGAGGCCCTCTCAATTGTTTAACATTATATATTTTTTACCAATAGAATAAATTCTCATTTTCTTTTGCATTATTATTATTATTATTACTTTTAGATTTCTTTTTTTTTTTTAAATTTTTGACACTCATGTCCACTTCAGATTCTAGCACGACAGGTCTTTTATTCGGCTACTAAGACAATCATATTTTTTCTTTCAAAAAATTTACTCTCATTTTTTAGCATGAGGTATCGGGATCGACTATCGAGTTGCAATTCATTAAAAAAGTCACGTGGAATAGTAAAAAGTTTGATCATAAGTTTTAGAAAAAGTTTGTCTTTTTACCACCATTTAAGTCTGAAAAAAAAATGGAAATTTGAGATACAAACGTTGCAACTTACCTTGACTAGTCAACCAAACTATTTTTGTTTTCAATTTTCATTTATTGACGACAAATACTACCTAACTGACAAAATCAAGTTTGTTCAACATTGATTCTTATGAATTCTGTTTTATTGTGTCACGTTGTACGTCCATGAAAAAAAATTTGATTTTTGCTCTTTTTCTCTCTCTCTATATAAAAGTGACTAAAAATACATATATAGATTAGTCAATAGATTTAGGCCCCATACCGAGTGGCTCACTATGACCCTCGTTATGTAAAAGATTGTGTAAATGAGTCGAGTGAAGTTTGTAATATACTTGAACTCGGGCTAGAGTTTTCTTGAGAATAAATGAGCTCGAGTTAAGCTTGTTTGTTTATATTAATGAGTCGAACTCAAGACTTTACTAGCTCATCTCGAATTTTAACGAACAAAGTTAAAGTACAAACAAAAAAAAATTACATACTAACCTAGATATATTCTTGAGCCTTAACGAATTCAAACTTGACTCTCTTATTAAACAAACCGAATCGAGTTTGAGCCTTAACTAGCTGAACCGTCCTCACGAGGGACACATTTTGTTTAATAGCTCTAATCATGTAGTACATATATATAATCAAATAATGAAGTACCACAAAATGTATATATATATATATATATATATATAAAATACTAGCCAGTATTTAGTAAAATACTTTTGGTTTCCCTCAAAAAATCGTTACATCACATTTTATTTACTTTTATTATCTTTTAATCTTATCCTAAAGCCAACCACCTATTTTTGTCTAATTTTGTAGTATGTAACAATTGCATTAGGATTGCCAATTTTATATAATTTATTTAAAAATCTATCACACCCATGCAATGTTTTCTAAATTTGATTGTAACGTAATGTTGCATAGTGACGAAATAATATTTAAACTATTAAGTTTGAATAATTATAAATTTTTTTTTAAATTTGTATGTTGATTACTCACATGTAAAAGAAGTAATAATTATCTATATACGATCGAATATACTAAATAAAAAATCATTTAGAATACAGATCCTTGCACCACTTCTTTTAAATTATTTCTGCAAAATGGTAAATTATTAGTTGAATTTACTGAAAAACAAATAATTTTCATATTTTTAGTGAATATTCATACTAAAAAAAATATTATGATTATATAAACATATATTTATAATAAAATTATGATATTTATACCCTTAGTTGAAACATAAATCATGCTCAATTAACCCCTACACATCAGCCCATATACTTGATTTGACTGATTTTTTATAATAAACAAAATGAAACTTTTTTGGAAGTTTAATGGTTGCATAATATAATGAAATTTAAAAGTATATATCTGTGTGATCATCTAAAAAATAAGACAAATTAACGTATATATCTAATATTAATAAAATTAGTACATAAACATCTGAACAATATATATGGTGCGATTGTGTCGTTCTGAAATTGACTCGGAATATGAGGTTTCGAAGCGTTGGTGGGAGTGATGAGTACGATGAGTTGAGACGCTTCTCGTAGTGGCTTGCAAGCATTGACGATGGTACAATCGGTTGATCGAACGACGGTTGTGTTGATATCGACATTCTCGATGATATTCTTCTAAAATTACAAGGGGACCTTACCTACCCGATGTTCAAGAGTTCAGGTGACGATCTTAGCTATCTCAAGAACAGAGCCATACAAGCTCTCACAGTTAATGTTGTTAAGTCAGTTAACGAGTACATGAGTTATTTGAACTCATCCAAGGGAAGGACTTATTTGAGTTCGGACAGCCCTTGCAAGTCAGACGCTCGGATATGACTCGCTTCAAGATTTCATACTCCTGTATTTCTCAATGGGATTACGTGCTCGGGACATCTGAATCATAACTTGCACTTGAAGGTCAACACTCCAATGTTGTTGCTCAGAAACATTGATCGCTCCATGAGGTTGTGCAACGGTACACGTTTTTTTAATTACTAAGCTCAGCAGCCGTGTCCTCGAATGAAGAATTTTAACCGATGCCAGAGTTGGTGATAAGGTTCTTATTCTTAGGCCACAATCAGACCATCTGATTTGAGGGCACCGTTCAAGTTTCAGCGTACGAGACAGTTCCCTTTCATGGTTTCACATGCTATGACAATTAATAAAAGTTAAGGGCACTCTCTGTCGCACGTCGACGTACTACTGAAGAGCGTTGTATTCAGTCATACGAGTCAGACGAATTTGAATATAATGAATTGTGGTGATGAGGATTCTAACGATAGAAAAAACCATGAATGTTGTATATAAAGAAGTTTATAATAATATTTAGATTCACTTTCTTAAATTATATTTTTTTTCTCATCGATTAAGTTATGATTTTTATTTTTATCTGCATTTTTCATTACTTTTCCTCTATTATATCGTTTTCCATGCAAATGCACGGATTAAAACTAGTTGACTAGTAATAATGAACATGAGAAGAAGAAATTTAAAGACAACATTATCATATATATTAATATTAATAATTAGTTAGCTATAAATACATCCATTAATTACTCACACAGTACACACAGTACTCACTCCAACCAACTGATCACATCATATACATATATAAATAGTAACCCTTAAATACAGGCATCAAGCCATACATTGATCAAACATGAATGCTACAGTACCCAAGTAACATTATTCATTATTAATTATTATTTTTATTTTATTTTTTTTCCATTGGGCCTTGGCCTGATACAATTCACTGTTTTAGAAGCCTCCTTATAAAATCAGCATCGGCATTGGTTATTTCCCCATTAGCAAGAAGCTCAGATAACCTCTCACTTAAATCATCAACCTCTTTGTGCAGA